GGATGTGTGTGGCGGGAGGGGGGTGGGGGGGTGCCATCAGGCAGGCAGCTAGGGGTGGGGGGATGGGCTGGAGACAGCTGCAGGGTCAGTGGTGGGGAGAGACCCGGGTGGGTCCCTGACAGACCCCAAAAGCCAGAGCCGGCTAGTCAGGTCTGTACGAAGTGTAGCCGTAAGGGTCATTGTCACCCTTCAGCACCTAGAAACCTTACCGTCCCGCCTTTGATTTGTGCAGGGGGGTGCAGCACCCCTCTGCCCTCGTGTGGTGGGGCTGCAAATCGGGTCGTTACATGATGTCTTTTAAGGAGAAAAGTCATACTGGAGACAGGCGCCGGGCTCACCGCATGGGCGGGATGGCTCGGCGTGTCTGGTTAGTCACAGACCAGGGCCAGCGCCACACACGTGTGAGCGAGCGAGCGAGAGGAACTGCTGGAGGTCTGAGGAGGCCTGGGCCAGAGCAAGCCAAAGGGAATGTGCTTGACGGGTCAACCCTGAGAGATGTCTTCCTCCCTGAAGCCCAAGGGAGCAGGAGGGACAAAGCCAGCGGCAGCTCCCCTCCATCCTGCTGCACCAAGGGGCACCACCCTGCCCCCGGGGCGGGGGGGACGGACGGACATGCATCCTGCTGGATGGTGGTGGTGGTGGGGGCGTGTGGGCTTCAGGGGAGCCAGCGGGGCCTGGTCACTGCTCAGTGCCACCTTGGAACTAGTGTCCATGGGCCTGGACATGCAGCTGGGTTACAGCGACACACCACCACCACCCGGTGGCAGAGAGCCAGTACTGCAGCCTCCCATTCGCATCCTGGGGAAACTTAAAAACTCGGGCTGCTGTTTGGTCTTTGTGTCTGGCGATGTCTTGGTCTTGTCTGTTCAGGCGTGGCTGCTGGCAGGGCGGCGTCCTGCGGCCCAAACAAGGTGACTCCCATACAGCGCTCACACAGCATGAACAGGTGGTGCGGTTTGACGCCCACCCACGGGCGGTAGAGCTGGAGGGAGAAGTATGGTTTGCAGCCCACGCTCCCCCTCCCAAAAGCTGTGTAAAGACCAGACCTTCTTCACAGCAACTGGGTCCTTGGAAAGGCGAGATTATTCCCTGGATGTGTGCAGTGTGACTGAGTCTGTTTTTAATGGCACTTTCAATGAGGACTCACCCTTTTGGATCTAGAATATGCTCTTGCTTGGGCGTCCTCCCTGAGCTGGGCTGCATCTGCAAACCATGGCAGGATGTGCTGCTCCTTTAGCCCACAAGGCAGCGTTCCCACGGCTGCACGTGTGCAGTTAGTGGCTTGCCTCAGTGTCACATGCTCCGTATAGGCAGGGCGTTGGGCTGGGGCTGCGGGTGGGCATGTGACCCCACAAAGCTCTGCCTAACTCACTGAGATAAGGCACAGTCTTGCCTCACTCTCTGTAGGCAGTGCTGCTCTAATGGACGCCGTGTGTTGCAGCTGCTTCATTAGCGTGTGCAACACCCCAGGCGCTGGCTGTGTTTTTGGCGCAAGAGTCCGCGAGTTCTATTCCCCGTGCGGCGCGGACCGCCAGCGCACCTCTGTGCAACCGGCCTGGGGTTGTTTGTTAGCGCCTGGCAGCGTTTCCTGTGTGGGAAACACAAGGCCTTTAGTCCCTTCCGTGTGCGGCCAGACCCATTGACCTTTGGTGACACTGGCCTGATCCGCTGCCCTGTTTTTCATCCCGTTCGGATAAGGCGTCTCTCCTCAGCCTCCTCACTGGAGTAATTTAAAACTAGCCTGGGGAGCATTCCTGCACTCCCACCAGTTCCCTTGGCCTCAGCCACAGGCACAGAACCCCTGGGCTCTGCTCTAAGCCCTGCTGCAGACTTTGGCTAGCTCCGTTAGCCACGCTGTGCCTGAGTTTCTCCTTTGGGAAACGGGGGCGCGTGATTCTGCCCGTCCTCACGAGAGGATTTGGTCGTTGCAGTTTGTGAAGGGCTGTGGAGATATAACGGCTCAGGGGGCCTTATCAGGATGTGCGGAGATTGTTATGAAGCGCTGCCTAAGGGCCCAACATGGCACAGCCATGAATGAAAAGCCCCTCCCCGCCCGCCCACCCTTGGTGGGAGGTCAATATTTCCTGCCTACTTTACAAATGGGGAAGGTAGGGCACAGAGCCATCAAAGGTCAAACTTGACTGCTTAAAGTTAGGCACCTAACGCAGCGGCTGGCTTTCCACTTGGATGCCTAACGTGTGGACCCTAAGTTGGAACATTTTGGCCTGTGGGAGGCACCCAGCAAGCCAGCGGGAGAGTCAGGAATCGTGCCCTGGTCACATGTGGGGTATGAGGGAGCGGTGCTGCCCTCCAGTGAAAGGCTATTGCCTCTGCTAAAACACGGCCACAGACTGCAAGGGCTATCGTCCAGGGAGACAGGCATGTGGGTTTGGGATGTGTGCTCACTCTAGTAAGCAGCCAGCCCATTCTCCCCAGCAGGACGGCCTTCCGCTCATCGGGAAATGGACCGGTTTCCAAACTAACCAGGAATCAGCCTTGTGAGAGCGTTTAGCAACGTCCAGCGGTGTCATAGGAATTGCCAGCATGGAGCAGACCCGAGGTGCCCCGCGTCCTGTCTTTGACAGCAGCCATTAACAAAAGCTTCAGAGGAAGACGCAGGAACCCCGGCAACTAGGGGAGGAACGGCCTGGCCTAACCCCTTAACTAGTTAGACTGGCTAAAGCCTGAAGCGTGGAGCTTTATAAGCTCCTCTCATCCTTTACCGTAGTGACGCTGCTTCCAAGCCATGGTAGCATGCTCTGTTCATGCTCGGCCCCCCCCTCCCAGATGCAGACATCCACCAGGGCGTAGACCCACGCTAACTGAATGCATAACTTTATTAAATAAATGCTTTGCCATGAGAAAAGACAAAGATCAAAGAGTAACATAAATTATACGTTGAATAAATAGTATACAGCAATCGTCACTTTTTAATAAAACGTGAGATTTGTTTTTAAAAGTACAAAACAGAGCATTAAGCTCCTCATCCGTCGTCAGTTTTTCACAAACTGCTTTTTTTTTTTTTTTCCCCACCAGTACGATTATCTATATGTCTTCTTTAATGGAAAAACAATAACAAAACAAAACAAAACGAAACAGAGCTACTGTATGTATGTAAAGCTATAAAAAGCTACCGTAAAATGTGTAGTGAGTATTGCTTAAAGATTAAAAACCAGGCAGGAATCTCGGAATCTGGTGTGTTAACAACTGTACTATAATGGTAGATAACTGCATTGTGGACGGGCTGTACCAAGGCCAGCGGGGCGGGGGGGGGGGGGCAAGAGGCAGTGCAGTGCAGTGCACTGAACTACGAGCCAAGGTGCTGGTACGGGGAGGGCTGGAATCAAGGGGAATTGTCGCTTGTTTAAATAGACACACTCCATTAGGGAAAAAACAACCGAAAGAGAGAGTGGAAAATAGTGCAAAAATGCTCTTGTACTAGTGGTTTTAAAATAAGACTGCCTGCTGCAGCACAGCCGTGGAGGAGAGGAATTGTTTGCTCACCACCATGCCCTTGCCTTGCTTTCAATCCGAACCCTATTAGATCCCCTTTTGCTTCCCCTGCCCGCTTGTTTCATTGGCACAGACTCAGGCTAGAACAACACCGAAAGGTGAAATGTGCCTCAGAGCTCCCCGGGGATTAAGCCGTTACTGGCGGGAGTCTTCCCGTCTGGGTTTGCTCAACCCACTATTAAAAAAACCCAAACTGCTCCCCCAAAGCAAGCTCCTTTCCTGGGGCAGGGTGGGAGGGTCACCATTTCCCGGGACGTGGCACGATCCCGCTTAGCAAATCTTAGTGCAGTTTTCAAACAGTCACGGCCCTAGGGAGTATTGACAGCCCTTCTGTGCAGCCGGGCGTCCTCCTCTCTCCGGACTCAGCCCCGGGCCCCTCCAAAGGGGACCACGCAGCTGTGAGCAATGATGGCAGAGACCCACAGTTCCGTGGGGGCGAAGCACCTGAGGGGCTGTGTCTCCACTGGGTTCCCGGTCCCTGGGCTGGCCCACTCAGGCTCTCGTTGTGGGGGAAGGGACCCCTATGCTGATCCCTCATGTGGGAGGGATTGAACCCTCCCCCAGTCACTGTGTGCTTGCTGGGGTCCCCGGGAGCAGAAGGCCTTGGGACAGCCTGAATCTGCACCAGCCTCAATCCCCTTTCCAGGCCCTCAATGAGTGACGGCAGGCCGCAGAATGCGGGCCGATGGGCAGCTTTAATGCTTCGGGGGGGAGGGGGGGCGCTGGGATCCCACTGGCAGCCGTAACACGGGGCAATGGCTGGCTGTGCCTCCCCCCAGGGCTGAGCTCACAGACACACCGGGGATCACTTCAGCAGGGGGGGGGGAGAAACTGAGGCAGAAGAGTATTAGCTTTCGGCCAGCTGTAGCGCCCCCAGCTAGCGCCAACCCCCAGAGCCACTCAGGCTGGGGGAACACGCAAACGGTGGCCCGGGGTTGTTCCTCCCGGCAGAACTGCCGTGGGCGCCCAGTACAAAGGAGGGGGGGGCTGCCATTCGGGGTTGGGGCAGCAGCCAATGGGACAGGGGGCGAGGCTCAGCTGAGAGCCGTCTTGCTGCCCCCCGCCCTTTAACTTGGAGAGCCAGGGCTTTTCCTAGGCTGCTGCCCCAGGCCCAGGCCCAGGCCCAGGATTTCTCTAGTTCCCCCTCCTTCCCCCAGGTTGTGTACACGGGGGGGATCCCAATGGAGCCACAGAGACAGTCCTTTGCTCTCCCCCCCACTGTACACACCACTGAGAACACAGAAGTGAGGACCAAGTTCTCCCCCCCGGTAAAAGCAATGGGAGCCGTGCTACTGACTGCAATGGCTTGGGCCTTGACCCTGGGGTAGCCGAGAGTCCAATTTAGGCTCACCTTTGCCCCATGAACTTTTCAATAAAAGGTCTCAGGGTGCGAGCTATAAGAAACAGTTAGGAGGTGACACCTCCCTACCCCCCCCCCCCCCCCCCCCCCCGCAGCCAGTAGCTGCCATCCCTAGCTGAGTGCAGACTCGGCGAGACCGCAGCCCGGCCCTGCTTTCAAGTTTCGGGGACTAAACCCACAGCAAGACAAACAAACAAGCAAGGGTGAGAGCGCGCAAGAAGGGAGGAAGGTGGGTACTGGCCTCAAAGAGTCAGGACTCGGGGTCACTTGGGGAGGGCGCGTGGCAGAGGGACTGGCCAAGCCCGGCTGATGGGGGCACTGCCTCCCCGTGCGAGAGCTTTGCTCGCGCCGTCCGTCCTCCTTTGGGGTGTACATGGCCCCTGTGCTCTCTTCTCTGCCAGCTACCCCATTCTCCAAGGCTGTGGCTTGCCTCTAATGCACACAGTGACCTCCGGAGCAAGGTGGGATCACCCCAGGTCTGCTCCTGGGGGCAAGGAGCAGAGCCGGACCAGGATATAGGGGTGACTTTGGCAAACATCTTTCCATTTCCAATGGACTGACCTAGCCCACCAACGCCAAAGGCCTTTGAACGTTGACCTGTTCGGGCTCCCCGGCCGGACTCGGCCGCAGCAGTGTGTGCTCATCTGTCCCTTCAAGTAGCCCAGAGCTTCCAGGACAAGCTGGAGAGATGCCCAGGGCTGCTGGGTGGCCGGGTTTTGATGCTTCCTGGGGTGGGAGTGGGGGGTGGGTCCCAATGGATGTGCTATCCATGGCCATGCGTGGAATAAATCCAGGCCTCCTGTAACTCCACTGAGTACCCTGGGGGTGGCCCTGCATTCCCCACACGTATTTGGCTGGCAGGGCAAGGGAAAAGTGTCGTGAGCTTTCTGCACCTCCCTGCAATAGAGCTAGGGAGTGTGTGTGTGTGTGTGTGTGTGTGTGTGTGTGTGTGTGTGTGTGTGTGGACCGTCCTGAGAACCAGGCCGTGAGTGGGCAGAGAGGGGACACATCTCATATGGCGAGACCCACGGACCTGCGCAGCCAGCCTTGCCCTGGGAAATGGCGCCACCTGGTGATAGGAGAAAGGCGTTTGAGGCGGTTTCTGCTCTCAAATCACTGCTAGTTTCTCAGCCAAAGTCTCTGCTTCCCTCGCCAGGGCCTGGTCTGTGGGCCTGGTTCCCGGTTACACCGCGGCCCCTCTGCACAATGCTAGGCGCTGTGTCTCCGGCTGGCCGCGGGAGGAAGGGTGGCCAGAGCACACTGCACTAGGGCCAGAGCGTAAGCCAGAGCAGCCCTGAGGCTGCCCTACCTGACCCTGGGGGCTGCCCAGCCCCAGAATACAAGGCACCCTCTGCCCTGAGCACGTGCCTGGGGAACTGAGAATCAGGCTCCGTGAGCACGACATGCTCTGGTGTTGGGAGCCCGGCGGCACAGCACAGACAGGGGACGCTGGCACACACAGACTCCCTGCCAGTCTCCCACGGGGCAAAACCCTCTGCTCCGCTCAGCAAAACCAGTGGGGTAACCACTCCCCCCACCACTGCCCAAAGCCCAGCAGGGGAGGCAGGCACTGCCCAGCCGCCGCAGTGCCAGGCTCATGCTCCTCTGGGAAGGTCGAGAAAGAAACCCCACAAGTCCCAGTCATGCAGTAGCCAGTCTAGCTCGGGGAGATTCCTTGGTTCCCTTTGATCTGCGCTAGTGGGCGTCGCTCTAGCTTTGCTGAGGATCAGCCCGCAGCAGGGCCCGTCCCGGCTGGCACAGGGAAGAAACCGGCGCGCTCTTCGTATCGCTAATTAGCACGCTGCCTGGGCCAGTCGTAGCCTCTGCCAGGATGGGGTGGGGGCTAGTTCTTTCGGTGGGCGCGTCCGCACACTCAGCGACGTAGCAATGGGTAGCGACACCTTGAGCACCGGTAGTTCGCCAAAGCAGGGAGTCAGCCAAACGCCCCGTCCTCTTTGCTGCGGAGTCTTGTTGGGAGCGACCTTAACAAAGACCCTTGTCGTGGGGAAAGTAGGGGGGGGGAAACGGTCCCAAGAGTTAAAAAATACACAAGTCCAAAGGCTGCAGCGATCTGGCCACGCCTGAAGATGCCGCTTGAGTTGGTCAGATCAGTGGCTTCCGTGGTGTGAGTCACAACAGCCAACGAGCTGGCCAAACAGTCCTGGCCAAGTTACAGCACCAATCCCGCAATAAACTCTGCCGGGGCCTGGGCGTCTATGGAGCTCATTGCAGGGGGAGAGACTTGACATTTGTATTTTACCATTGCAACAGAAGAAGAGAGAGGTTTGCATTTGGGCAAATGATTCTTTTGATGGGCAAGGACAATATCATTCATTTTTCCCATCATGGCAGAGGGTCGTAAAGATTTTTGAGCCCGATCCCACAGCCATTTAAGCACAGCTATCTGTGGGACTGCACCCGTGAGTAAAGTTAGACACATGCTAAATTGTTTGCAGGATTGTGCGTGTGTGTGTGTGGGGGGGGTCCTTCTGCCTGAATTTGGACGCTGATTTTCCAAACCCTTGACCTTGTGCAGGATTTTAAGCATGGGAAAAGGCCCGTTCATGTCTACAGGACATAAGAACGGCCAGACTAGGTCAGACCAAAGGTCCATCTAGCCAAGTATCCTGTCTTCCGACAGCGGCCAATGCCAGGACTTCTCATGTGCGTCAAGTTAAGCACATGTGACTGCAGGATTGGAGCCAGTTTTGCAAGGCGGAAATAGAGCCACAGGTACACACACAACATAAATTGCCACACACCGATGGCCAACAACATTTCAAATTATTTCACTTGACAGGAAATAAGATTCCTGACACTGCTCAGGGCCAACGGTCCCCGATGGAGCTGAAAGGTGATTGGTTATCGTTTGGCTGTTGCTTTTTTTTTTAAAGGAGCCACCACTATCTTTTGCCAGCAGGAGCTGTTATCCCCTGACTCGTTTCCTAAAGAAATGCAAACCCGTTTACAACAATGTTCCAGACACCGAACGCCCAGAAAGCTGTGCATCTATCTCTATGGAGATATCAATCAAAGGGCTTTTGGCGCCAGTGGAGGATCAATATTAGCTCTGGCAGTGCCAAACAAGCCACTCAAACGCAAGGGCTGAGCGGTGGACGTGGGCCTCATCGTGGGGCTTTGTCTGGTTTCGCTGGAGACCGTTTAGAAAGTTGCTGGCTAGTCTAAAAACCAAAACAAACAAAAAAAAGACACCCCCCCCCCAATATCAACAAACCAAACCAAACCCACAATAGAAAAGCCCCCAAGCCGATGCCTACGTTGGCGCTGGCTGCGTCCCTGCATGGGGAGTCGAGAGCATTTGGGGGAGTCTGTACTGGGAAGGCGGCGCCGGTTTGACTTCTGCTTTCCTCTTCTCCTTTAGCTGCCGCCGCCGCGCGGGCGAGGACGGGCTGCAGATTCCGAGGTCCTCAGTTTCTTCCGTTTTTCGAAATGAGATGAAAGGGTTCGGAGTCCCGGGGCGTGGGGAGGCGTGGGGGCAGGGGGCGGGGGGACGGCGCAGGCCCTTCACTCGGTGACGCCGCTGTCGAAGCTGTGACACTGCAGGTCGCCCGCCACGTAATTGGTCCCCGGCAGCTTCAGTCCATACTTGTCCACGCACCAGCACAGCCCGCGCTTCCGCCCCCGGGACGGTTTGCACTGGGGAGGCGAGGAGAGACGCAAAGGGAGGTCAGTGGCGGGCGCGTCACGGGGAAGTAATGGCGCAGGGAGCAGAGCCCAGGTCTCAGTGCCGGGAGCGAGACGCAGCCGCCACTTCTAATGGGGGTGCGACCTGGCACCAGCCCGCGACCTCGCCAAAGGCTAGCCCCATGGCTCAGGCACTGTGCAGGACTCAGGAGAGAGCAGGGTTCGGTTCCTGGCTCTGTGCGACCTTGGGCAAGTCAGCTCAACTCTCTGGGCCTCAGTTCCCACTCTGTGAAATGGGATCAGGAATCCTTCCTTTCTCCCACCCTTTGCCTGGCTTCTCCAGGTGGACCATGCGCTCTGTCTCCTGCTCTCAGTGTGTAGCATGCTAGCACAATAGACCCTCAGCCCCCCTGATTCCCAAGGCCAGGGCCTCCGGGTGCTACTGCTAACAAATGGTTCAGGGAAGATGCAGCTTCCTGCTAGCTGCTGCATGGCGTGCCTCATGACACTTGACTTGATAGACCTCCCAGGAGGGTGAGTAATACGACAGCTCACCACTAACACGACCAGAGGAACCCTGCAGGGCGCGTCTAAGGCACAGCGCTGTGGGAGAGAACCGACGAATGGACGGCCCGCTTTGTGCACACGCCTGGTGAGCCCCGGAACCCACGCCCTGGTCGCGGTTTTACATCTCAGCTGAAAGAGGGCAGCCCGAGTGGCCTGACAGCAGTGTCGCCTAGTGGCTAGACTGCCAGGCTGGGGCTCTAGGTCAGGTTCCGTTCCTGGCAGTCACGTCACCACTCTACCCTCATTTTACAGATGGGGAAACCAAGGCACGACGCTACCGCTCTGCTTGGTGAAGTGCTTTGGGAGCTAAGGACGGGAAGTGCTGTGTAAGAGCATTAATGTCCCCGCGCACTATATTGGTTCGACACGGAGCTGGGGGGGAGAGCGGCCTTGTCGTGGGGAGGGCCATGTCGGTTTCCCCCGGGGGGAGCTCACCTGTTTCCTCTTGTAGAATCCCTTCCGGTCGCAGTTGGGAAGGTGAACGGCTCGGGGGATCATCCGTTCGCTGGTTTTGATCTCCTGCAGCGAGGCCTCCATCTGCCTGCGGCAAGGGCCCTGCCAGAGGAGCGAGAGGATCAGCGAGAGCCCAGCAAGCCCTGGCCCGATCACCAACCGAGAGCCAGGAATCACGCACGCCCCCCGAGTCAGTGACCCGCTGGGCTCCTGGAAGGGATGGATTTCCCCAGCACGGGGGTAGGAGAGAGCGGGGCAAAGCCCCATGTCCTGCATGGCAATACGGCCCCCCACTGGGCAACCGTGCCCGTCTCTCTCAGAACCTGCTGCTGGGTGCGCTAGGGGGCGGGCGGGAGGACAGGGGCGGGTGAGGGGAACCCAGCACTCACCAGCTCGAACTCTTGCCTCAGCTCGGGGACGGCGACCCGGGGATGCGCCGTGTTCTCCGCCCCGCCGACGAACTTCGACAAGGTCAGCTTCTTCCTGCGGTCCTTCTTCAGGGCCTCGGCCTTGAGCTCGGAGAGGCGCCCGTGCTTGGTCCGGATCACCTTGGGCGAGAAGGTCTCCTCCGCCATCTCCGAGGTGGTCGGCTCCTCGTGCTCGCGGGATTCCCGCTCTGGAGGGGAAGGGACAAAGCAGAGCGACTTCTCCGGGAGCTGCCCATGGAACCTGAGTGCCCGGCGCCTTCCCAGCATGCACAGGGGGAGGGCCGACTAACCCAATGAGAGCCATGCCAAGTACTGCAGCGCCTTGGGCACCATCTCCCCATAAAGGAGAGACCCTTCCTTCCGGCGCGATTCCCCACGAGGGCACCCCCCTGTGACTCTCACAAGACTCAGTCGCATTGGGTCGGGGAGTGGTCCCTATAGACACACACCACCAGGCCGCTGTGTATCGTTACATTGAACCAAGAGAGGCACAGGCACGTTACCGAATGCGCACACTCTGCCTGTCACATACATGCACAGACAGACGCTGGGACGCGCAGGAGACGGGGCGTCTGTAGGACAACGTCTGTAGGTTTCTGCACAGTGCCTGAATCGGCTTCAGGCTGGGCGGAAAAGCCATCGTCTCTTTGGGGCGTGGGGCTCAGAGGGCCAACCCCACTGTGGAGGAGATGGTTGTAGGGATGGCCTGCTTCTCTCCTGCTGGCTTTCATTTGCCCCCGGGGGCAAAATCACCACAGGGTTTGGCAGGCTTCGGTCGAGACAGCAGGTCAGGTCTGGGGGCAGCTGCCAGGGAGATATAGGGCTGGGAGGGGAATAGCAAGAGATGCTTTGCATCAGGATCGGGGAGCTTTGGCAGAGCTGGAAGGTTCCTTTTAGGTAGCTGAACGCAGGGTCCACTCTAAAACCTTGTGTGTAGCATTGCTGGTGCAGAATGGGTGTCACGGTTCAACCAGAGGGGACTGCATGTTTGCGGTGGCTAAGTCATCCTCGTAGAGTGTATATCTAGTCTCTGCAGTGCTGGGGGATCCTTCTGGATGAGTTATTATTGGTATGATCAGCCTCAAGCTCTCTCTGTGTGTGTGTGTGTGTGTGTCTAAGTCATCTGCCTAAGTCATCTGCCGTTTCATCCATTGTAGTTACCCCCATATAGGCTGGGAGACCTTCTGAACACTTTGCTCCCAGGCAATATGATTTTAACAGCTGGGATGTCAGCAGGGCTCCCGAGTGCTTATATATAGGAGTGAGCCGGTGACAGCCTATACTTAGCTGACTTGTGACCTTTAATACAGCCACTGGAGTGAAAGAGGGTTATTTCTGGGTCTAGCTGTGAATATAGCTCTCCCCTCCAGAGACAGTGGAACCCTGGGCCATATTCCCACCAGGCCTGTTCTGTTGTAGGGGCCCCTCTGGCAGAGGCAACAGAAAGAGACGGCAAATGCACAACACTGGGGCAGGGGACAACAGGGGGAAGAATGGAACAGAATTGTTCTGCCTCACACAGCCAGGAATACAAATATCAACCTACTTAGATGCTCTCATGATGGTGTGGGGGGGATATGACTCGAATTTGGTCACAATGAACCCAACATGTGCAAAGGATGATCCTCGTGCAAGGAATAAGCCTGCAGATGATCTTGGGGCAGACGGGACACCAGCCCCACAGCAGACTATTCTGTGACAAGCAGAGACACTCATCGACGTAAAGAAAATTATTTTCTGACCTAGCCCAGGTGCAGGCTAGGAAAAAGCCAACAAGGGATTTTCACCAGGACCTAATGCAGCCACCTCTGGGGTGGAACACTGTGTTTAATAGCACACGGCAACACCATATAGGATAGGAGGGGAAGTTTTAAGGGAGGCAGAATGTAATGGGAGTTATGTTATATTTCAGAGTGTCATTCACAGGCCCTCGGGAGTCTGTCAAGCCAGACAGCAATAAATAACGGTCCAGCAATCGCTGACCTGGGTACTTGCACTTACAGAAAGGAAGCATTTCTCCTGCTGATCAGCAGGTGGCAGCACATGCCTTTAGTTCGCACTTTAACGCAAGGCAAAACCCTGCGAAATCATCACAGCGGGTTTCATAAGGGCGGGAGGGTCTCAGTATTGGTGTGCTGGAGGGTGGCAGCTCAGCCCCTGTGGTCCCTACAGCTGTCAGTCCAGGCCCCCCGCATCCACACCACAATTTCAATCAACGCCAAGTCGAACTTTTCCTCTCCCAGCTCTGAGAAAACCCAAATACACTACTTGGCAAAGTCAAGCGTCCCAGCCTAGCAGCTACTCACATGAGTTATCCAAAGCCGTGCAATGAACCTGATCACTGCTGGGCAAATCCTATTACAACCTCTCAGGATCGTACTCAAACCCACTGGGTTCAACAGAGCCTGATGTACCTTAGAATCATAGAATATCAGGGTTGGAAGGACCTCAGGAGGTCATCTAGTCCAACCCCCTGCTCAAAGCAGGACCAATCCCCAACTAAATCATCCCGGCCAGGGCTTTGTCAAGCCAGGCCTTCAAAACCTTTAAGGAAGAAGATTCCACCACCTCCCTAGGTAACCCATTCCAGTGCTTCACCACCCTTCTAGTGAAAAAGTTTTTCCTAATATCCAACCTAAACCTCCCCCACTGCAACTTGAGACCATTACTCCTTCTTCAATACTGAAAGGGTTCCCATCATCCCTGCATCTAACACCTCACAACACCTGCGAGGCAGGGCAGTGTTGTTATGCCCATTGTACAGATGGGGGAACCGAGGCACAGAAATCTGCCCACGCTCACACAGGAAGTCTCTGGCAGAACAGGGAATTGACGCAAAGTCTTCCAAGTCCCAGATTTGCACCCTAACCACCAAGCCATCCTCCCTTTCTCTCATCTTGTGAGGCCCAAGGCTTATCTGTGCACTCAGGTTTTCTCAGGTGCAGACGGTGTGTGTTTTAGGGCTCACTTTGTTTGTTGGAGGAAACAAATGTATTGATTAAATAAAACATGAAAAGATCAGGCCTGGAAGAATGGGAATCAGGAGCCGGTCAGTTGCATGGTCTGTGTCTTGTCAGTCACAATGACCAGCCAGCAGCCACTAGTGCAAGGTGTTGGGGCGGTTTTACACTGAAGTCTTCTCATTCACCAGATCATTGAAATGAATACCCTCTTCTGCCAAGCTGTATTAACCATACCTACGCCCTGGGCCTAAATGAGTGACGTCCCTTTATATAAAGTGACCCCCCTCGCCAGGCCAACTGAAAAGCCGGGCAGAAAAGCAGCATGTGCCATAGCATAACACTCCCGTCTTCAACCTCAAGCCAGCCCCACCGACTGCACTAGGCATTGGATCGGGCCCACAGACCACAGAACATCAGCCTGGGAAGGCAGGTAAGAAGCGAGATGGTACAGCGCCAGAGCCACTTGGTGCAGCATCCTACCTCTGGCAGTGCCCAAGCCCTGAGACTCCAGAGGAAGGAAGAAACCCCCCCACAATGCCCCTGGCCAATGGTGCTGGACTACTCCACGGAAGGAAACATTCTTTTCCGAAAACCCAGCTGGTGTTTGGATTACGCCCTGAAGAATGGGGCTTGACGGCCCTGGTCGTTTTTAGCCCAGTTCGCGTCAGTGCAGAAGCTAGTCTCATTCACCTGGGTCAGGCCACCGGACGAGGCAGAGCCGGGCAGCAGCTGGGAGTCAGGCGTGAGCACCGCAGCTCTCATTACATCTCCCAGGAACACTTTTGAAGAGCATTATTGCCCTCACCGTTCTCGGTCTTCCAGTCACCAGCTGCATCAGCATCGTCAGCTTTAAAAACTTGTTTTGGACATTGGGCCCAGGCACTGAGGTGCTCAGCTCCTGCTGGAATAATGTGTGAGCGCCAAGATCCCACGCCCACTGAATACTCAGCTATAATAGTAGGGTATTTGCTCGGGGGGGGGGGGGGGGGAAGAGCCAGCTGAAAACTAACATCTCTCTCCTGGTATGCAGCCGTTTTTAGAATGAATAGTTCAGATTGAATTTTTCCTTTAAAAACATATAACCCTAATAAATAACCCTACAATAAGAAAGCAGGGTGTACAGCCTGGCATTCCTGTGCAACCCTACAATAACAAACAAGGGTATGCACCCTGACA